GTCTCAGAAATCTGCTGTCATAACACTGAGTAGAAGATCCATGGTCTGGGTTCTCTCTGTAGTTTAAAGATGACAGTAGGCACTATCCCTTTGTCTTACAACAAACATGGTGTTTGTTTCATAAAGCTGGAAGTTGCCATGATTTTATAATTCCTTCCAAACTCCTACCCCTGTATTTTCAACCCTCCCATGGGTAAGTGACTTTTATACTAACACTTCCCTTCAAGCCGGGCCTCTCCTTTGAGCCTAGATTTCCCTTGGGTTTGTTTCCTTCTTAGATAGGGAAATATTGCCACAAATCTACTAATGCTCTTTTCCATCGGCCAGAACGTTTCTCTGAAGCTTCAACAAACGGCCTCTGATGCTGCTTCAGGAAGACACTCTGTGCTCTCAGATGCGGGAATGCAAACTCATAAGCAAACTGCTATTGAAAAACTTCTATAAACAACAAGGAGGTAAAAAGAGTATAGAGTATATGGAAGATGTGTGCAAAACAGTTGTTCTATCAGTCAGATAGAAGTAATAAAATGCCCGAATTATATTTGATCACGCTCAGGACAGCCATGGTACACTTAAGTACAGTGCTGGCTGGGCACTGTCACAGAAATCCCAAGCTGTGTTTGCCCACAAGTTTAAGCTTTCATCTTTGAGAGAAGAAAGCCCAGGCAAGGAGGGACAAGAACATTTTCCGATGGCCCTAATGAAGAGGAGATATCCCAGGCGGGCAGGCGTCCACTCTTATGCCCATACAGCTCCTCCTTCATTTGTAAGGAGACGGAGTAGGACCAGCCCAAAGAATTAATGGAGAATAAAATGTACTCTAAAAATATATCAGGAAAAAAGTTACACGAGAAGCATATGAGCTTAATTATGAGTGAGGAATCTAAAATACCATGTTGTCGTTAATATCTTTAACCATAAAATTAAAGAGAAGATGAGTAGAATCGGGAAATTCTTCATGCTGGGAAAGCATAGACAAGGGGTACTTGGAAAACGTAAATGTGCAAGCATTGGGATATCACTTGAACGCAGTTTGGGTAGCTGAGGAATGCATTAAGCTATCACTTTTCGGAAACTACTTGGAATTACTTGTTTTTAATAAACAGCAAAGAAGATGCCAGACAATTGAGAAGAAACAAGCATGACGCTGAAGCGCACCTAAAAGTCTTTGTTGCTTTTGTGCAGCAACTCTACTTTCTGGGACCGTTCTCCTGTAGGTAGTGGATGAAATGCCCAAATGTGTGAGCACTCTGAAGGGGATTTTCAGAAATACTTGTCCTTGGTCAAACTGTTCCTGTTGAGTCCAGCTGAGAGGGCAGGCCAGCTCCGGTGGAGACAGCAGGAGGAAAGGCGAGGAAGAAGAGAGCTCTTCCTCCTCTGGCTGCAGTAAATTGGGGAAGCACAGCCTGTGCGTGTTATTGAATGGCTTTTAAAATCCAGATTCTTAAACAGTCGGAAGATGTCAGGTGCCTGTGGGAGCTTCATTTGGTGGAAGTACAGTCTAGCCTGTGACGTTAGTTGTGTGGGTAGTATCGGTAGTATCGAACGTGAATCGTCTCCCCTGTGCCGATGAGCGACGTGACTGCAGGGGTGAGCGAAGAGTAGGGGAGTGACAGGGATGCTGGAGGCAGAGTACCGCGTGTTTTAGGCACGGCTTTTGACGTAGCGTTTCACAAAGTCTTATGTTGACCACGAACCAACAGAAGGACTGCCAAAAAGATACAGATCGCAAAGGTTCCCCGCAGTCTCAGCACTCGGAGCCGCAGTTTAGTAAGTCCTGCAACTGGAGGGTCCTCCCAGGCGGACGCGGGATGCCCCCCGCCCCGTCTCCCCGCGACTAGTCGGTGTTATTGGGGAGACCGGCGCAGGTTCGACGCGCCGCGTTACTCTCTCCAAGAGATTCCCCAGTAGGAAACGGTGCTTAAGGCAAATAGGGACGCGTCTCCGTCCTTTTACGAAGCACGTAAGGCTACCGTCTGGCTAAAACGAGGTTGTTTTTCTTCACGAGGGCCTTCAGGAGGTGGAAGGCGCTCGGCGGGCATCGCCAGCCGGCGGCCGCTGCTGGCTGGGCTGCGCAGCCTTGCGCGCTGCGCTCCGCGAGTCCCGATTTCGCAGAGTTAACCAACAACAACAGACAAGATCTCGGCGGCGGAACAGCCGGCCAGCCTGCCCGCCTGCCCGGGGCAGGGGCGGGGGGGCTCGGCCTCGGACTAAGCGGCATCCACCGGCCTGCCGGGCCGTCCCTTCCCTCCCTCCAGGCAGCCCCCGGGGGGGCTTTTCCTCGCCGCTGCCGGGGCCGAGCAGGAGGAGGAAGAAGCCGCCGGGGGGCCGGATCGGCGGCCGCCGGTGAAGGTGGGT